CACACACCCACACACACCCACACCCCCACCCACGCACGCATGCACGCACGCACGCACGCACGCACGCATGCACCCACGCACGCATGCACACACGCACGCATGCACTGGTAGACGCGCACACACGCACCTGCCCACCCTAATGCAGAAGAATGAGTTTCGTTCTGGGCTTCTGCGAGCTGACGGAGGAATATCGACCTCCATTGTGATACGATGCTGCATAGCTTCGCACCCTACTTGAGGTTGAAGATGGGGATGAAGGCATGGACATGGATCTGTCTTTGGTGTGTTTAGAGGGTGTTTACATGAGGGGTGAACTTTTTGGAAATTGCATCGAGGCCTGGCGATCCTGTCAGAGCCTTGGTGGCAAACCCCTGAGATGGGCCAGGCGGGCCTTTCTTTTGGGGCACATCAATCTGCGTGAACCCAAGCCGGCGTGGCACCACACAGCCTTGGCAGGGGCAGAAGAAACCGGTGCGATCGCGACGAGAGTCTATTCTGGCATCCGGGGCTTGGGCCTTTGGGGCCCCAGAAAAACTGCTGATTCGCATGCCTCTGCATCGTCAATCCTGGCACTGAGGCTGAGTCATTCAACTCGGTCCCTTCCACCACAACTCTTCGCTCAGGCCGGCTCTCGTGGAGATTTCTCCTTCTTTGCCGTCCATGGCGAGATATTAAACAGGGGAATCGACCCTTTGTCTGTGCTCCAGTTCTCAAGAAGCGCACCATCTCATCGTCCTTGGCGGGTCGGGCACAGGCAGGCCTCGTGTGTCAGCCGTACACTAGACCCGAAGCTGGGACGCTTGAGTTGCAGCTGAGGAGACATCAAGTCCATGTTTGCAACGGTGTTTGCAAAGCTTGGCAGCTCACTTAGCTCGCTCAGCTCTCCGCGTGGATGGGGAGAAGTGTCGGCTTTCGAGGTGGCCTGGATGGAATGGTTTCAGCACCTCAAGGACCCCGCATGCTTCTTTCTACTTGCAGGGCGCCGCACGGTCGTATGCCGAGACATACAATGTCTTGGTGTCCTGGTGCTGTTTCTAAAGCATCCGCATCGGGCGAGCAGGAGCCCAGCAGGAGGTACTGTTTCGCCAGAATGGAGCCTCGTCTGTCAGTCAACCAGTGTCCAGTGATGTGCGTAGTTGCAGAACAAGGTAGATGGAAACAAGTTTTCAACTTTGTGCTTACTCGTGATCCTGGCAAATGCAGCGCAGCTGCACCTGAGTCTGGCTTGTGGGCAGTTGAAGCCCACGTCAATCAGTAATGTTTCGGATGCTTTGCGCTCGAGCTACTGCTTGCCTGTCCGCTCACCTCGTACCTCAGGCATTCTTGATCATCATCGTCTCGGACTACGAGCTGGGACACTTGGGCGAAGCGATTCCTGAACACTACGCCGCGTCCTCAGATGCAGTCAGAGCGTGGATGAGACTGTTGGTGGCCTGAACGCCGGCAGCAGGAGCGGCTTGAACTTGGCCTGACGGTGTTCTATGTGGGGTCCTCAGACTCGTTAGCGATGAAGATCAGCCAGCAGATGATGGTGGATATACTAAAATGCTTCCTGGACGGCGCGCCGTAAGAAACCCAGGCCTTCGAACTCACGCTTAAGATCATGGTCCATCGGATGTGCCCCCCGTTGTGGCCAGCTCTTGGTGTGATTCACCGTGACAGCTGAAAGGTACTTCTTTGTCAATGAAGACTGGCGTTGCTTGGACGGCTTCGGCATTGAAAATAAAGGAGGGCATGTAGGAACTCCTCTCGCATGCCCGGCTGTGTTTGCAGGTTGGAACATCTTTGACTTCTCGCTCGTGATCTTCTCGGTAATTGAGATTGCCATCTCGTCGGTGCTCGAGTCCGCGATTGACGAGAGTGGTGATGCGAGCTTGAATCTGGGCACCTTGACCACGCCAGAGAGTGAGGGAGTTAGAAGCCGTTTTGGCGCACATGCTACACTTCTTGTCTTGGGCTGTGCTCTGCCCTGACTTGCGGGGTAGGAGCCTCCCCAGTTTGCTGAATGGCAGTAACTATGGCCAACCCAACAAAAATGAGAAACACCAAGATGCACGTTTAAGCTGTTGTCTTTTCTCCACAGTGGTTACCAGGGAGGCTGCATTGTGGGCGGCTGACCGCAATCAACACCAATCGTACAACCTTTCTTTTCAGGCTGACTTTGAGCTGGGGTCTTGGGGGGGGAAACCAATTCTTTGCGAAGCAAGCTTGTTCTAGAGGACTGTGACTATGGCCGTCGTGGGGTCACAGCTCAGTTGTTGAATCACCCTTGTTTGGCAAGGATTCCTGCGTCTGCTCAGACTGACCAAGCTGGCAAAGGCCTGGCGAGCATGTGAGCTTTTTGAGATAGGACTGGGCACGCCGGTGAGGTGCTCAGAGTTTTTCGTACCCTGAAGTTCTTCACAGAGTTGCCGCTTCGTTGCAGTGGGGGCCGGCAGCAAGGGCCAAGGCAGATCAAGGCAGGTCAGTCAAAGAGCCTATCTCCTGCATGCATCTCAGGCGCCTCATGTTGGATTGTGTTCTGGGCTTCCTGGCGAAGAAACAGCCGTGCGACATGCGCTGTGGGCAGGAATCTAGACCGTTGTAACACTGTTGTAACGATGCCTGACATCCAGGCTCATTCCTGCAAATATTCTGGTGCCTCGCTCCTTGCTCAGATCAGGTGTCCAAGTAGGCAAGCCCAGCCTGAGAAGCAGAGCTTCAGGCGATGATTGTCTTCGTGCTCTACGTCTTCTCCCTCCTCATAGTCCAAGGCATAGTGGATCTTCTGATATCGGCCTTGGGCTTGGGCCAAGTGAGCAAAGCTGTGTCGCCTAGGGCCTAGTGTAAACACAGCACTCTGCACTCTGCCACCAGTTCTTGCATCTTTTTGATTAATGCTTGCTGGTACTCTAAGGAAGGTGATTCCCTTGCAGATGCCGACGTGAGACTGCTTGAGTACTATTACCCGTCTGTAGGACGGACTTCTGCACCAGTTAATGTCGAACTTCCGTAAAGACACCAATGTGCTTTGCACGCTCACTTCACAAAGAACTGATCCCAAGCACCTTCGACACGCACGTGCGCTATGTGTGAAGATGCAAGTCAGGCAGACCACTGCGTGTCAATGAACTCATCGCCATCTTCAGGAGGAGCCCTCCTGACACTGTTCCAGTCCACAACAGCTGGCCTGGATTGGCGGGATGCCACTTGAACAGTTCAGGCATTTAGGAGCTTTAACAACAAGGGCATTTTGATTGGGATGCCACTATGCTCGTTCTCCAAGGCTTTCGAGGCTCTTCAAAAAGGTTCTGATGGTGCTGGTCTTAGCTCGTTTCCCTGGCATGCTTTGTGGCATCCTCCCTCTGTGAGGTGGGCTGTTTTTATCTCTGGTATTTTTGGCCCCTGCCTTATTTCAACCTGTTCCAGCACCTTTGAATGGAAGCTGCAACTCCAGCAATAGTTGCAGCACATAGTGTCCGAGGTTTACATCAGCATCTTCACCATATCGATTTGGAACATCGTGACAAGCACCTTTGTTGAGAAGGCACCAGCCCACTGCCAGTGCCAGTAGTGTTCGGCGATGCTCGGCGCTTCCCTTCGATGTCGATCGTCCTCGACCGCCGTGGCAGGCGATGAAACTGGCTAAGCCAGATCTTGACTCGATGCTTCTGGAGTGCCTCAGCACATACACCGGTTCCTAACTGACTAGGCCACTACGCGGCTAGGCGTATCTAGGCGTGTCGTGTGAATACATGTGAGTACACACGGCACAAGGCAAAGTATGCGCGATCTGAAAGACACGGAAGAATTGGAGAACCTCTTCAGACCGTATGCCACCACAAACGCGGCCGGTCACCTGGAAGCCCCAGCAGCATGCCTGCCATGTTGATTTGTGATGCATCGTGCTTCGAGATCAGGAAGGTGAGGAGGAAATCTCACTCGAGGACTTACAGGCGGTGATTGCGTGGGAGCTCTGTGTAGTGCGTCTTGTCAATCCTTCGAAGTAGGTCGACGTCTGTTACGTTTCAGGATGCAGCTGACGAGGCGGAGTTCCTTTTGTACCTCTCAGTACGAGGCCAGTCTCTTATGGCAAAGTCTCTTCCCATGTCAGAGCAGAGTGAGTATTAAGCAGTCCATGGTCTGAGGCATAGACGTTAAGAATGTCAAGCTGTTCTTCTACATGCTTGGCTCGATGCACAAGGCCTTTCTTGCCAAGTTTTTGTTTGTGTGACCTTCCCGACATGCTCCTGCTTCGCAGAACTCGGTCGTCGACTTGAAGTCACTGGTAAAAGCTTGCGCTTGAACCTTACGACGGGTTGAGGCCGTCACGAGATATCAGCTGGCCTTGTTCGTTTGCGATAGAGGTTCGAATGAAGGGCTTTGCCACAAGCATCGATCTCCAGTCGGTGTCCTTTGAAGCCAAGCTGATGCAGCATGGCTGCAGCCCGTGACTTGCATTTCGTCAACTTTCCAAGCTCTACTGCACCTTGCCAATCCTGCTGCAGGCATTCGCAAACGAAGGATCTCTTCAAGGCACGCTTCAATGTAGGAGCCATCGAAATGGCCCAGCCACGCCAAAAAAATGCGCGCTCGTGGAACAATAGACGCAGGCTGCGTCTGAGTGTGTCAGATCCGGCTCCAAATCTCAACGCATTCTGTGAACGCTTGCAAGTCCTACTGTTATGTGATCTGAACGACAATTATGGTGGGCCACCAGGGGGCGGGCAGGGACATATATGCACCAGGCATGACATGCCTTGATGTGAACATCACGAAAATTAGCAGATTTCCTTTCAAAAGCGTGGAGTGCCTGCAAGGGATTCAAATTCAATTCCGGGAGGTAGGCTCGCAGTATCGGGAACTGGCAGAGACGCTTGGGGCTCTCAAGTTCCGTTCCTTCGCCAGGAAGGGTGTAGAGGCAGTCTTCGATCATGGCAACGCCAGGTTCTCGCGCAGCGGCTTGAGAACATGGAGGCGCCCGCTTTCAGTCTTGGAAAATGCTGTGCTATATCCTCTTCCAAGCTTGCTTTGTGTCTGAGGTGTCAGTGCTCTCCAACCTGCGTTCCCAGGCATGTAGTGCCGTAGAATCGTGCTGCATCGTTTGATGGGTGGCGCACCGGCACTTTGCACACGTCCGACCATCAAGGCCGGCCGGCGACGAAGTGGCACAGTTTTTGGAGCGATGCAGGGCTCTGAGGATCTTCTCCTTTGCCGAAGTACCGAGCCTCCGAAGTGTGACAAGACATGCACGGAAGGGACACGCAGATGGAAGAAAGTCGAGTTTAAGTTCATCAATACCGGCACCTGCCTTAATGACAGTGCCAGTTGCATTTCGTCGGCTCATGCCTATACGCCTGCGTGCGTGCGCAGCTGTTTCAAGCAAGTGTGTGTGCGTGCGTGCGTGTGCGC